AAATTTCATAATTCAAACATCACAAAGGCAAATAAGCATTGAATTTATAGATGGGAAATCTCAAACAGTTTCACAATGAAAAGGACAAATTAACAGCGACCATTAGATGTTGATAAGACAACTTCCGATAAAAATGATTAACATAACTCTATTCAAGTAAACTAAGACTCAATGCCACTCTAGTTAGGGTGTTTATAAGATTAATCAAAGTACTCCGTTTTCAACCCTCCGACCTAATAAATTGAAAATGGCCTAATAGCATTCTATCATTTGTTGGGATGTACTTTGGAGAGGTGGGGTTGGTATAAATAAAATTATTAAAAAAAAAAAAAAAAAAAAAAAAAAAAAAAAAAAAAGATTTTCTCCAGTTTTAACACAATTGGAACCATCGCATATTTTAAATTAACTAAAGTATGAAGAGACAAATTATGAAGATACAAAATGGAAGGTTAAGGAAAAAAGTTATTATAAAAATTAAAAAATAAATAAATAAATAAATAATAAATAATAAAATAAAAAGGTTATGAGATAGAACAGCATGATAAGAAATTCAATTACCTCAACAGGAGTGGCCAAGACTAGAAGATACTGGATAGCTTCAACAAAAATGCCAGGCTTGGCTTTGGCTAGGCCAACTGCACAAATAGCTTGTTCATCAACACTATATTCAGAACATTGACCATCCCTGAATTTAAATGAAAAAGAACTTAAATTAAAAAGAAGGAACTAAAATCATAATGAGAAAAAATCGCAATACAGCTCTAAATCAAGGTGAAGCATATTTGAATTTAATATTCTTATGCACTTAGAAAACTAACTTTGCATGACCTATTATCAACTTAGGCACTCCTTAAAGCAAGTCAAGGACAATGAGGTATGGTTGATAGCTAATGTAAAATTGCCACAAATATATTACACTAAAATTAATCTAAGAAGAGAAAGTGAGAAACAGAATCATATACAAAACACCAACTAGATTAAGAAGAGAAAGTGATAAACAGAATCATGTACAATACACCAACTAGATTAATCACAATTCAGCTAAGTTATAAATGGCTGCCTAGGACTGCATACCTCTGAAATGTAATTCAAGGGAATGTCAAAATAAATAAGCTTATAAGCATATGTTTCAATAACATAGACACACCAGCTAATTAACCAAGAACTCATCTAAATAAATAACCATACATTTCTATGTATGAGCCAATCTTGTAATGCTCACCACTTATCAAACCGCCAAAGAAACAGAGACTCGTCCACTGATGCCCATGCTCTGCGTATCTCTGGAAAAATTCCACATAATGCAGTTCCTTCCCCACCAGATGCATTGTATCTTTCAATTAGTACAGGGGGCAACTCCCAGGAATCCACAACTTCCACTGAAGGAGGCCACTACAACAGTGCATGAACTTATAAATTTAATTCCTTTGAGAGCTAAGATGCAGTAAGATACTAAAACCAAATTGGTGGTTTTAAAAAAAAAAAAATGTTAGGTCTTGAGAGTTAGTCACATCTCATAGTATTGTGTGCACAAAATGAACAAGTAATTTTCATTAAACACAGTTTTAAATAAGTAGCATTTGCCTTTCAAAAAAAAAAAATAATAAGTAGCATTTGGATTGTTCTCAATGTGCAAGCCCTTTAATAGTAAAACTTAAAAGAAACCAACTTCCTATGTTTCAAATTCATTTTAGTAAATATATTCCATTCTATTAGGGAAAACTTTTACAGTGCATATAGGGACCAAGTTCATCAGCACACATTATACTAATTCTAGTTATAGTCAACAACACTCATTAGAACCATCTATTGCCATCCACTCAGAGAATAGAAAGATGATGTCAATATGAAGCATAATATTGAATAAATTTTCAATTGTTAGGGCTTTTCATGCAATTGGAAGAATAAAATTGAATAAAAATTTATTAAACAAATAAAGCATAGACTAAAATTTACAAAGAATGCTGCAAGTTGCAAACTTCAATCCAATGCTTAATATATGATGAATCATGTGGCAGCTGTTGCATAATGTGGTTAAACAAGGAACCAGAATGGTGAAGTAACGGGCCCTTTGACAGCAGCAAAAACAAATTACCGTGCTAAGTTTTTCACTTTTTCTTTAGAGCAGAAAAGGCTATGACTTTTTTCACTCTTAAGGTAATCAATGAATGTCAGGAAAGAGGGTAATATTGGCTTAAAGTTTCAGCTTGATTTATGTAGTACACCTATTATTTTAGCCACCTGTTAAAACTATTTAATTTCTGAAACTCCCAAATCCAGTGGACACTGGTTCTACCATGGCCTTCACAAGTATGCGTAAAAATCATTATAAGCATACTTGAAGACCACATAAACCAGACATGGAAGAAATAAAAATAAAAATAATAAATAATTCAAGGAAGCAAAGAAAGCCTATAGAAGAACTAGAGTTATTCTTCAAACAGTATTTCCTTTTTCAATTGAGATGGAACTCATGGAATGAAAAGTAAATCTGGTATATTACTGACCCATGTACTGAAAATGATGTTCCACTTTGTTATTTTTTTTTTAACTGATAACAAATTCCTCATTTTTAAGATTATGAGAGGAATGAGTTGGAAGGATAAGTGGATCACCAAACCAAACACATGCACAGCAACCTAACCTCCACAGACAGGGCTACACAACAAAAAATCCCCAACCCAGCTTACAACACCATTCTATTTAGAAACAATTATCAGGGGCAACATCAAAATCCATAATTCTGTAATTGGAATTTGAAAGAAACTTTATTCTTCGCCGGAAACCAAAAATTGTGAGTCTCTCGGGCTCTCTGAGCATGAAACAACCTATCTCTACCTCGTGTTTTGTGACTACAACTCCAAATTTCATCTAACTACTAACTGTTACGCGCACATAACAACACAAATACACGTTACAATTACGTGCATTTTCCCTTACCTCTCTAGGATGAGTCGTATACGGATGACTTGCATATCTGGAAGCCTCCAGGGCTTCCTCGAGGTCGGCTTGAGCTGATACATCACGGCCAATGCGGTCGCTGACCACAAGTCCAGCATTGCTGACGTCACGAAGTACAATATCAGACATCACGTCTTCCCCTGTTCGAAAACCCTAGGAATCAAAGAATCCCACTCCTAGGGTTTGAACAGTACAGGCAGTGGAGAATCCTCGACGCCCGGGCGCCAGAAGAAAAATGTCGATTTCCTCGAATCCCGCTTGTGAGCTAAAAGTTGAAAATTTTGAAGATTGAAGAAAGATGGAGGGAATTGAGGAGTTCGGGGCGGGTAGTGAAGGAGGGAAAATGGCGAATTTGGTGTAGGGTTTTGGAGTTTGAGGTTTATTAACAACGGCGACCGAATTACGGCGCAGTACTTTTGTTTTAAAACACGTTGATTTGTGTTTTGACTTTTGAGTACGAATAATGTTTATTTCCTTGCATTTTTTTATTTTTTTTTTTTACTTGCTTAAGGATTCTCTTCTATATGGATATGTCATGTAGATTTTATTTATTTGAAAAATACTATGAAATACTTTAACTTTTAAATTTTGCTCTCTATTCTAATATTTTTATTTAAATTTTTGATGTAGACATTTTATTGAGATTCACATAATGAAAGTAATTTATCTTATTTTATTATATTGGATTATGCGAATAATTTGGGTTAGTTGATTATGACCAGGAAATTAATTAGAGGGTGGAATGACATACTTGGTAAACTAATTGAATGTTAAAAATTCGGGAAGTTAACTAAGAATTCGACCATATATTGTGAGAAAGCTCTAGTTGAAGTAGTGTATATTATGATGATTGATGAACCCCTCCCCCCTCTCAGGCTATGCAAAGTGACCTATTTATATAGAGTAGCAAGGGAACAAGTTTCAAACTCATTGCATGTTTTCCACGTGTCACAAGCTCATTGGATGAACGGCCCGTGAGTTTTACAATCTACATTTGTCTAAACAAAGTTGACAAGTCACATGAATGTGTAACAAGCCCTTGTGCGACCGGGATATGATAATTTAATCTCGAAAATGATTTACCGACCATAGAATAGGTCACATTTGATTTATAAGATTTCGGGAACTTGCGGGGTTTTCCTTAATTGTGATCGAAAAATGGTACTTATAATGATTGGTGCGATTACTGATCATAATATTTGTGATGAGGTTATATTATTTTAGTTAATGATAATCAAGATCTGGAGGTCTAAAGATACATAGATAGGGGAGGTCCACTATTAATAATTAGACGAGTAAGTAGACATACGTACACGAGTTAGTAAATGCACTAGCGTGCTCAGTAAGTACTAATGAGGTTGAAAAATGCACTAGTTAGATTATAAAATGCACTAATATGGTCGAAAAATGCACTAGCGAGTTCTGTATGGCAAGTGAGTTGCCCTATAACCTTGAACCTGAACTCGTTGATTGTTACACATAAGACATTCATTCGTCTATTGTTTTGCCCCAAATCAAGAAAATATTGTTTATAAACTTATTTTTCTCATATGAGATTCTTCTACACGTTGATAGATGACGACAAATTTGGATGAATACTTATATGAATGATGTTTAGTATTTGTTTCCCATTAAAGTAATTCTTATCTTTTGTAACTTAGCCTACAATACCTCGTGATTTTGCCCATATATATGTTTTGCAATTTGATGCATAATATATCGATTAATACCTTTCCTCCATAATTGAAAGCTTCAAGACTAATGTGATTCATCAATTTGCTGATGGATAACGTTGAATAGACTTATCCATTAATATTTGTTAATAATCAAACACAAGTATAAGAATACATACGAGAAATGCAAACTTGTTTTGATACTTGCATTTTTTTTACCAGAAATTCAAGACACAAATAAATTTGTCATAAGATTTAAAAAATGGATAAAATGGAGTGTGTGTGTGTATATATATAATTTTTTATTTATTTATTTTTTTTTTGTGTGAGAGAAAATGGAATATAGAATGGGACTAACGTGTATTATTATTCAAAAGTTGTCTCCTCCCTCTCACAGTCTCACCCACTGAGACTATCTCTTGACTGCGCACTGCACAGAGTAAATCAATGGTTTTGTTGTTAATGGCATGCAATCATTCTTATCTTTGATGTAATGCGGAACTGTTAAACGTGAAGTTATAGCAGACAAATGGCTTCATCTCGTGTCTTCAAAGCAGCCTTCAAGTCCGCATCTGTCATCTCATGGAAATCCGTAACTCTCTCTATCTCTCTCTCTACATATATATATCCATGCAAATTCTATATTTCCTTGACCTGTATTTACACTGGAAATCTATGAAGTATTTATATGTGTAGTCCATCGTCAATTTCACAGACCGGTAAGCTTCAGCAAACAGTAGTCAACTGTATAGAACGAACCGGACTAGGGCTCCACTCCGGTAAGAAATCAACGGTGAGAATATGGCCGGAGCTTGCAGGCGAAGGTAGGTACTTCATGATTGGGTCGAATCGCATCGACGCGTCGATTGATTTTGCCAAGGAGACTCCTCTGTGCACTACACTGTGCAAAGATGGGTACACTGTGAGAACAATCGAACACTTGCTGTCAGCTCTCGAGGCTAGCGGCGTCGATAACTGTCGAATTGAAATTGAAAATTCAGTCGATGATGATCAATCTGTCGAGGTAAAGGATACTTCTCATTTCTCAGTTTATGCATATTTACCAGAATTAATTTTGGGGATCTTTCTGTTTTTATGTCAATCCCTACACTTCCAAGCAGTTGTATAATGCATAGACTTGAAGAGGAATACAATTAATCTATTCTTTCTCACAATCCAATCGATAGCTTAACTGATTAGTGCTTGTAATCTTTCTTATGTGTTGCAATTACAAGCATTGGAGTTGTGAAATTTCAATGTTTCATGTTAGTTTACTTAGTTAGGAATGAGTTTTGACCTGTTTGTAAACTATAAGCTGCATATTATAGATAAAAATGTAGTTGTATGCCTTTGTATCCAGATAATAACACGAGGGCCCTTTTCATGGTTACAAGTCTATGGAATTATTGATTATGTTGCTGATTCTGGGGCTGTTGCCTGATAGCAGTATGACGGGGGTGAGCATAGGTCGATTTGGCCAGTAACTGACTGATAACCGATAGCAATATATTTAATCTTCATAAATGACCGATAATATAATAGATATAACCGACCGAAAATCGAAGTGTCATAACCCATCTAAAATATTCCATTGGGTTGGGCAAGGCATTGGGCTTATGGAGTGATGGGCTAAATGCCTAAACTATAAATAACCTATATATATTTTATATATGATCGGTTATTCGGTGACTGCGTTTTTTGAACGTCCATTACGGGCTAATAACCAATAACCGGTAAGTCGGTAACCGACCAAAAAGTTTTCGGTCGGTTTGACTATTGGTTATTGGTTTCGTCGGTTTTTCAGTAATTATGCTCACCCTATGTGGAACTTGCTTCAGTTTAGTACCAATACATTAACATTTTGAAACTAACTTAGACAGGTTCCTATTTTTGATGGGTCAGCAAGGGAATGGGTAAATGCAATAGAAGAAGTTGGGTTGAAGGTTGCTGCTGATTCTGGTGGCAAAAGCTGTGATAAGTTGGCACCTTATGTTAATGAACCTTTTCATGTGTGGAAAAATGACACTTTTGTTGCTGCGTTTCCTTCTTCAAAGCTCAGGATCAGCTATGGAATTAACTTTCCTCAGGTAAAATTATGCGCAAATATGATATATAGTGACCATTGCATATATTATTGTTAAGAAATCATCCAGTTTGTCTTTTGAACTTCAGGTTCAGAGTCTATAAGTGTCCCTGTGATCCTTGTCTTGGTCCTGTTTTGTATATTTATTTAGCTGAGTATTGACGAATGAATTTATAGTATGTTTGTCGATTAGAGGATTTAACTTGCTGCTGCTTGTAGTGATGACTAACAAGTTTATATGGAACTTGGAAAGTGCTAATTGTGGATCTATTCTGCCTTATAATGATTCATGTCTTGCACTCTTGCAGGCTCCTGCAATTGGGTGTCAATGGTTTTCTTGTTCATTATCAGATAATTGCGTCTATGTGGAGCAGATAGCTTCTTCAAGAACATTTTGCATTTATGAGCAGGTCCTTTCCAAGTGCTTTTAGTTGATTGTATTTTGACTATTTTCATCTACCCAAATTTTTGTCATTATGATGCTTTGTTGGCCGATGATTATATAATCCTTTATTCTGCTCTTGGTGGTTCTAAGGCATAATTTGTGCTCTTATTGAAATATTTGTTTGAAACCATTTTCAGGTGGAACAAATGTTGCAATCAGGACTTATTAAGGGTGGCTCTCTAGAAAGTGCCATTGTTTGTAGGTTAGATATTCTTTCAGTACAAGTATATTTTAATAAATTGGAGAAAAATTTGGGGTTCAGTGTGAGCTGTATGCCTTTTTTTTTTTGGGTGTAATTGAAGCATGTGCTCCATCTAAACTAAAAGCCTAAACTGATAGTTGGATTGCACATTAATGGCTATATGCTCAACAAAGTGACATTGTACTTATTCTACAGTGGGAGTAAAGGCTGGTTGAATCCACCCCTCCGTTACCATGATGAGCCCTGCAGACACAAGGTTTTAGATCTTATCGGGGATCTTTCCCTTTTTGCTAGAGCTGGTAGTCAGGGGCTTCCGGTGGCTCACATTGTTGCCTACAAGGTACGATCCTAACTCCCTATGTAGCTTTAAAATAAAAATCGAAAAGAAAGGAATTATCTTCCTATACATGTGCATGCTGCCTGTTACTTGAAGCAAGACCAACAGTTTATGATATGTAGCCATGATCATTTAATATGAAAAGAGATGTGAGATTGGCAGCACTGACAGTCACAGAATTTGAGTTACTGCTTTATTATATATATATATATATATATATATATATATATATATATATATATATATATATATATATATATATATGTGAGAACTATTTTCTGATCATAATAAGAAATAAGAACATTTCTTCTATAAGGCTTCACTTATATTTCACATGTCACAGGGAGGACATGCATTGCATACTGATTTCGCTCGTCGCTTGTCAAGAATCGATTGATGAACAAAGAAGCTTTCCTTAAGTTATGGCTCATGTATTATGATTATTTACTTTGATAAGCTTTCCAATTTTTATCAAGAATTATATACATTGATTTAACCTATCAACTAAGGTAACTGTATTGACACCACTTTGGATTCAATAGTGGTTGAAATTGAGACATAAATTGGAGCAAAGGCGGCAGGTTCTGAGAGGAATATTTTAAAAACCAAAAGTAGTTTCATACAGCTCTTGCCGTACCTGCCAACCCAATTCCACTATTTTTATTTTATTTTGAGCATATCAATTTTTCCTTTTGTGTTACTCAATAACTCCCCCCACTTTCTTTTATCAATTCAACCATTTTAAATTAAAAGTAAACATTACTATGATGTTTGCTAGGAAAATCCTTTCTGATGTAAAACAAGACTATACGTGTGTTTATATATATCATTTTGATAATTTTCTTTACTTTAAGGGGGCGTTTGGTTCAGGTCATATTAGATTACCTAGGTACCTAGGTAATCTGAGTCTGGTAATGTTATATTACCTTGTTTGGTTCAAGTTATAAGATTGCCTGGTAATGTTATATTACCTGAAAGCTGATGTGGCGGTAATGTTTCAAGGTAATGTGATTACCCCCAATTTTTTAGGTAATCTTAGATTACCTTGAATTATTCCAACTTTGCCCTTGTTAACTAATCCTTATATAATAATAATAATAATAATAATAATAATGAAATTAATATATGTTTATATAATCAAATATATATGTGTATATTTATATATTTAATTTTTTTAATATTTAAGCATCGATATACATTCATACATATAAATAAATACACACATTATATATATATATATATATATATATATATATATTATTGAGGACATTATTGTAAATTGATCCATATAACTTAAAATATAACCTTGAACCAAACAAGGTAATATTATATTACACTATCCAAACCAAACACACAAAATAATCTTACATTCCCAACATCTCACATTACCTTCCTGGAGGTAATCCTATTACCTGGGGTAATCCAAGATTCCGTGAAGCAAACGCCCCCTAAAAGTAAACTTTAATTTCCAACACTATACAATACGCTTTGCAATATTATACCATGCATTTTAGTCAATTTGAAAATGCACTGCATTTATGATTCATATTTTAGAGTTGATGATTTAATTTAATTAGTTTGGCTTACAAATTCATTTGCAAACGGCAATGAATAAATTCAACTATGCAAAAATGTCTAAAATATAAGCAAATATGTAATTAATACTTTTATTAGCTTAAAGACCCATCACAATCACAAATTTAGTTGAGATCATGACCGAAACCTAGTTTAGTATGATAACGAAATGGTTAGATTATTCATAGGATTCTGTCTGGCTTTAGGGGATTTTTAAAATATTTATTTAATCTCATATTCAAAGAAAGCTCCTAGGATTCTAGTCGCAGTCTAATGATTTAACTTGTGAAATTGGTAACGTTAAATTATAAAATTATTATGATTTATGTATTAGTGGATTATTATTTTTGCGTGTTGGGACCATTGAATGCAACATTAGAGGCGTTAAAAACAACATAGGTCACCGGCCCACCAACCTCGGCCCTGCCGGCGTGGGCTTCTGGTTCTAATTAATTAAATTTCCTTTAAAATATGTAAATATATAAATAAATGAATTTAATTTTATGAGAAATTCTATTACAATTGTTCAATAATAATAATAATAATATCATTATTATTATTCAATTTAGTAGATTGAAACTGGTAAACGAATTACTAATGCAATTGCAATCAGTCACAGTTCATAGTATACAATGAAATATATGCAAGGATAACCAAAGAAAGCTACTAACACTGTACTATATCAATTGTTATACTGTGCAACCGTGTTAATAAATTGCATAAGTATATATTCATAATTATATATTCAGAATTGTATAAGTATATATTCATAATTACACGTCGATTGGAGTTTTTGTTAATAAAAAAAAAAAATTGATTGGTGGAGTTAAACGGTGCCACCGCCCACCGTGCCACTAATAACACCGTTATTCTATCATATTAAACGTTGTCATTTTGCAACGGTGTGCACCATGCACAACATAATTTGCAGTAGTATATATGACTGACCAAGAATAAGTATGGCTTACCAAACCGTTGTATCTCAAATGCTTGTTATCATTCAATATATTATATGTTACACTCTTTCAACCAACGCTGCAGACAATAACCTCAAACTAACACATGTTTTACCTTAAAGAACCCAAACCTTTCCATTTGACTCACTAATCATACCTAAACTCAAAACATGTTTTATCTTAAAGAACTCAAACCCTTTCCAGTTGACTCTCTAATCGTACCTAACACTCTTAACATATCACATCATGCATCTTAACTTTGTGGTGAGCGGTTGTGGCCCACAAATGAGAGGTTTCAGATTCGAACCTCAATATGGGGATATTACTTTTTGTACTTCAATATGTTGAGAAAATATGTATGAACATATATTACATTGTAATAGAGTCACTTTCATATAGGAAAATGAGAATGAAAATACAAAGTAATTTAAACAAATAAAAACATAGGAAATTATGTATATAGTAGATACAAACACAGGCTCTCTCTGTCAATAAGATATTCAGATAATCAAAGGAAGCATTTTAAGGCCATGGCCCCACAAATCTCATTTCTCTCTCTCTACTTAGCTATAGAGAGAGAAACTAAAACGCACAGCATCTTGAGCTTCATAGTCCATACACTCTGTCTCTGTCTCTATATAGTAAAATAATTAATTTAATGCATATTTTTATTTATCACTAATAATATTTATTAATTTATATAACAATCATATATTTATATTTATTTACTGGATATATGTATGTATATATCTAATCGCACTGGGAGGAGTGAGGTGTTTGATGTGAGAGAGGGGATAAGCGGATAGATCGGAGATGGCGGAGTTTTCCGGGGATGAAATTGTGGCGACGGGGTTGCCGGAGTTTGGTTCCGGCGATAATGGCGGCAATGAGCGGCCGGCGGCGTGGGAGGCTGGTGCTTCGGCGACGCTGACGCCGCTGACGATGTCGGCTTCGTTTAAGGATGGAAAGGCGTCGCGGCGGAGGGCGTCGGTGAGGCCGAGCCTGGACGCGGACGAGTTCATAAACCTGCTCCATGGCTCGGATCCGGTGAAGGTGGAGCTCAATCGGCTGGAGAATGAGCTCAGAGGTCAGTAATGCCAGCTGGATCCAGTGTGATTTGGTCCCGAACTGCATCGTTTGTGATGCCGCGTGTAGATATTTATTGGGGTTTGCTGTGATTGATACGTTGCCGTTTATGGCTGTGCAGATAAGGAGCGGGAATTGTCTGAGGCTCAAGCTGAAATCAGGGCCTTGAGGTTATCTGAGCGCCAAAGAGAAAAGGCTGTTGAAGAGGTTTGGCTTCTCTTTTTAGTACTACCTCTAACTTCTTTCAAAAAAGCAAGTTTAGTCATTGGTATTAGTGTGATTGATGTTTTACGAGCTCAATCTGATCTGTCTGCGTTACATTTCTAGTACATACTCATTCTATGAGTGGTACTCATTGATGTATTATGCTCAACTTGAGCTAGTGGATTTTGAGAGGTGGGAAAAAATGTAAAAAACAAAATAGGGGCAATGCTTTTATGATTTTCTCATTATGGATGGAAATCCAATAAAAATTTAGAGGTTAGATTTTATGAAGTGCAGTTTAAGTGATCACAGTTAATGACAAATTTGATGGATTAGGATAAGCATTCCCCTCTTAGCATTGGTCTTTGTACTTTTGTGATATAAGGTTTATAGGATAACTGCATTGCTACTCTGTTGATTCGAAATGTGCTTTAGATATTAGGATTTGGTGGTTAGACTGTATTCCTTTCTGTTCCCCACGACAATGTTCTCTCTTAAAAACATGATTCCTCTAAAGAGATCTTTTTTTTTTTTTTTTGGGTGGAAATATTGATTACATTTACCACTAAAAATTTTACTCTGATAATTCATTTAGATATATGTGAATGATTGTGGCACTTTATTTTGATATGTTCTGTAAATTAAATGCCTCTGATATTCCGATTGCAAGTTTTTGCTTTTCGAAAACCTAACATATTCTGACTCCGATTTACAATGCTTTTAGCTCACTGATGAATTGGCAAAGGTTGATGAGAAGCTCAAGTTGACAGAGTGCCTTCTAGAAAGCAAGGTACTAAATGAAGCCCTTCTGTTAAACTTGATTTCCTTCATCCGCCATATTAAAGCTGTATGTTAACTAGGGAATCTTCTGCTCTTGACAGAACCTTGAAATTAAAAAAATCAATGATGAGAAAAAAGCTTCTATGGCTGCTCAGTTTGCTGCTGAGGCCACTCTTAGGAGGGTTCATGCTGCTCAAAAAGATGATGATATGCCTCCAATTGAAGCAATTCTTGCTCCTTTGGAGGCTGAACTCAAGATAGCTCGGCAAGAGGTTATTGTTCTATCTTTCAACATTGACAAATTCAGTAAAACATACTCAATTATCAAAAACTTGACTTGATTTTGGCCTTTATTCTCTCCAGATTGCAAAGCTTCAAGATGATAACAAGGCATTGGATCGCCTCACAAAGTCAAAGGAGGCTGCTTTACTTGAAGCTGAGAGAACAGTGCAGTCAGCATTGGCAAAAGCTTCAATGGTGGATGATCTCCAAAACAAGAATCAAGAATTGATGAAACAAATAGAAATCTGCCAGGTAGTATGTTTGTGGTGTTGGTTTGCTTTCTTAATTAGTGTTTTTTTCTGGTATAGTTTTTTTAATTTGTAATTTAATCCCAAAATACTTCAGGAAGAGAACAAAATATTGGATAAAATGCACCGCCAAAAGGTTGCAGAGGTTGAAAAGCTTACCCAAACTGTGCGTGAGCTTGAAGAGGCTGTTCTTGCTGGTGGTGCAGCAGCTAATGCTGTTCGGGATTACCAACGCAAAGTTCAAGAGATGAATGTAATGTGCAAAAAATAATTCCATGCCTGATAAGTCCAGAGTACCATGTATCTTGAAATATGTTCTGTTTAATCTGTTCCCAGGAAGAGAGAAAAACTCTTGACCGGGAGCTGGCACGTGCGAAGGTCACTGCAAATAGGGTGGCCACAGTGGTTGCTAATGAGTGGAAAGATTCTAATGACAAAGTAATGCCTGTAAAACAGTGGCTTGAAGAGAGAAGATTTTTGCAGGTATATTAGTTGTCGATCACAGCCCTTAATTGACTTGATGTTCTAATTGTGATTCTATCTTGATTAATGAATTTAATGCATTTTGA